TCTTGTGCACCCCCAGTCTGCTTGCTGGTGGGGTGGGGTGAGAGGCAGAGAAGGCCTTGACACTGTGTAAGCACTGTTCAGCAGTAACGAAAACATCCCTGTGTTATCAACACTGTTTCCAGCACAAATCCAAAACACAGCCCCATGCTAGCCGCTATGAAGAAAATTAACTCTATCCCAGCCAAAACCAGCACATTCTCCACCCCTTATTCCATACCATTTATGTCATGCTCAGATCCCACACTATCCAATACATCCTCGTTAACCACCACCACCCTTCCCATTCTTCACAGATACCATTCCCTTAGTCTATGGACCACCTGTATAAAATGTCTTAAAATGTCCACAAAATGTCCATGACTTTGGGCTCCATCTGTTATGATGGTCACTCAGGACAGGGAGAGGTGGTGTGTTGTGTGGAATTATTGGGCACCAAAGACAGCTCAGTTCGGGTCACTGCTGCATTTGCACTGCTTCTTGTAAGGCTTGTCCTCCATTGTTTCAGGTGGTTTCTTTTGGTAGTTCCTATAACATGCAACTCAAATCATGGGTTACAACAATTTAAAGGTATTTCCATTACAGTCTCCCCCCCGGTCCCTTTGGGCCAGGTTAGAGGGTTTAACATTGCAATGAACTCCTCCCCTTTCTCCTTGCCTGGCTAGCAGCAAGGGGTTCCTGCTATAGTAATTCCCATAACATGCAACTCAAATCCCAGGTTACAACAATTTAAAGGTATTTCCATTACAATCTCCACTCCTGGTCCCTCCAGACCAGACCATCGGGTTTAACATCGCAATGAACTCCTCCCCTTGCCCCTGCTCCAGCTTGGACTTATCCACAGACTGCAGTCCCTTAGGGGTATACCTGCTCCAAGTGGAGCTTTAGCTATGAGCCACAGTCTCTCCAGGGGTATACCTGCTGCGGCATAGACTTAGCCACAGATGCTTTGAGGTGCACCTTCTCCAGCATGGACTTATCCTTGGGCCACAATCCCTTCAGAGGTGTACCTGCTGCGGCACAGACATAACCATGGCCACAGATGTTTTGAGATGTACCTGCTGTGGCATGGGCTTATCCAAGGC